AAAAAAAAAAAAAAAAAAAAAAAACAGAAATATCAGCAGGAAATCAAAATCAACCACCATGGGGGCATGTGGTTTGTGGGGTGGGGTTTGGTCAGTAGGGGGTCAGTTCATAGGGGATGGGGATGGGAAATGGAAGGGGAGGGAGGTTTCACATGCAATGGAGTGGGTGTTTGAGTGAAGTTGTAGGGGAAGTGGATTTTGGAGGGGTAGGGAGAGGGGGTGTTAGGCCAAAGGGAGGGAAAGGAAAGCGACTTTGTGGTGGTGTTCGTTAGGTGGAGAGGAGTAGGGGGGAATAAAGGAAATAAGTTATTTGGGTTGGATTCGAATTATTGCGGAACTGATTTATTTGAGAGTGATAATATCAAGACGTGTTGCGGGTAACGTTTGTTAATTGACACGAAAGGGGTCTTGCATACGAGTGTATGTTTGAGTGGAGTTATAGTGGAAGGAGGTGGATTTCCAGGGGAAAGGTGTTGGGCCAAAGGGAGGGGATGTTGTGGTGGTGTTTGTCACATGGAGGGAGGAGGGCGAAGAAAGAGGATAAGTTATTTTGGTTGGATTTGAGTTGTTCTGGAACTGATTTGGGGTTGTTTTAATCTATTTTGAATGTGTTTGACTACAATTTTAGATTTGTCGGTCCCTGGAAATTTATTTGAGGGCCATAATATCAAGACTTGCAGTTGTTAATGTTTGTCAATTGACACGAGNGACATCTGTATAACCTGATGATTAGAATTCTTTTTCAAGTTTCCTGTATGATTTTTCTTACCAAGTTGTTGAAATAGGGAAGGTGATCTTTAATTTTTTGAGTTTGTGGTCTTGGGGCCTGCCCTCTTTACAGTAACAGCGATAGGATTCTTTCAATGAATATTTTTGATCTGCGTTTACAAGATATACTCAATAAGGGTGGACACACCTCAATTACACTTGTGCAGCACTAGCAGAGGCAAGGTGGATGATTCACGTAAAGTGTCCCTGGAAGCACATGTGGCAGTCAGCAGTCCAATTGATGAAGGCGGAAATTGTCTTGTGAACAAGCATGAGAAGCTTATTGTCCCTGTATTGGCCGTCTGGTGAAAGATCAGTGCTTGATTTTGGCCCCTGGACTTTGGCACAGTGGAAAAATATGAATGAATTGCATTTGGCTATAAATCGAAGAGTTTGTTGGTTGCTTGATTCAGCTATTGTTTGTGTCAATACCGTCCTAAAACCCTTTGCAGATTTAAAATGGATCGAATGAGGAAATTGGCCATGTGTAATGTGCAATTGATACCCTCTNAACATCTGTATAACCTGATGATTAGAATTCTTTTTCAAGTTTCCTGTATGATTTTTCTTACCAAGTTGTTGAAATAGGGGAGGTGATCTTTAATTTTTTGAGTTTGTGGTCTTGGGGCCTGCCCTCTTTACAGTAACAGCGATAGGATTCTTTCAATGAATATTTTTGATCTGCGTTTACAAGATATACTCAATAAGGGTGGACACACCTCAATTACACTTGTGCAGCACTAGCAGAGGCAAGGTGGATGATTCACGTAAAGTGTCCCTGGAAGCACATGTGGCAGTCAGCAGTCCAATTGATGAAGGCGGAAATTGTCTTGTGAACAAGCATGAGAAGCTTATTGTCCCTGTATTGGCCGTCTGGTGAAAGATCAGTGCTTGATTTTGGCCCCTGGACTTTGGCACAGTGGAAAAATATGAATGAATTGCATTTGGCTATAAATCGAAGAGTTTGTTGGTTGCTTGATTCAGCTATTGTTTGTGTCAATACCGTCCTAAAACCCTTTGCAGATTTAAAATGGATCGAATGAGGAAATTGGCCATGTGTAATGTGCAATTGATACCCTCTGACATGTATAGTGAATGCTCCAGTAGCGGTTGAAGGAGAGGAGGGGCACCTATGCCGCATAAATAATTACTATCGATAACCCCGTGTCTGAAACACTATAAAATATCAAAAATGAAATTGATCTTGCAATATTTGTATTTGAATAATAATTTAGTTTTTTAATTACACAATTTAAAATTAAAATAAAGAGAGGTAGGTGTGGATTGATAAGATTATTTGACATAAGGGAGTGTGTTTGTTGAGTTGTCTAGCATCGGGGGTCATGCAAAAGGTGATTTTTTTTTTTGTTGGGGGGGGGTGAATTTTGTACCATTGGATTAAGTAGATGAAGATTGGATCAATCTTGACCATCGTTGTGCTTTTATAAGTTGAAAATTTAACTTCCTAGCTGTAATATTACATAAATGTTGTATGGTTAATTCATTTTACACACACATAAAAAATGGAAAATTGGACCATCATGTAATTGTGCTGTCTCCTTGTGCACTAAAATTTGGGGTTTATATGAGCTTAAAGCTTAGATGTGCTTCCAAATACCTACATGCATAAACTGTTCCAAGTAGGTATACCATCCAGGATTGAGATCTGTAATGCTTGGTTGTTCTCGTCTGGTACTTAAGTTTTTTGTGCTGTATAGTGTTATAATTATGGTCTTGTGGTTACTTAAGCTAATGCTCTATGGGATGAAGTCATGACTGCTTGATATAGTTCAGTTTATGCTTTCAGTTCAGTTTCTTTTACTGTGTTTTTTTATGCATCAATTACTGCAGATTACTTATTTGCCATTGCCCAAATGTTGCAGATTACTTGCTCAATCATACACAGGATGATTGACATTGTTTTGGAGCGCGATGGTGCTTCAATTGGATCAGCACAAGGGAAGAAGAAAAAGAAATCAATTATTCATCAGAAGTCCAACGAACATCATGGCGTGAATTGGCGAGGCAAAAATGCGCTCTCTTTTCTTAGTTCTCTTCTTGACGTTTTACTATTGAAGAAAGACATAGAGAAGAGGTCTGCTATTCAACTTATGATGTTTTATAATTTTTATTATATGGCTGAGAGTTGGAATCTGTTTGTATTTATTATATCCCATCTTTTTATATTTTTCATCTCAAGCTTATTATTACTAGTACTGAGAATATTAAATTCTTTGTTTGTAGAACTTCTCTTATAGGGCCCTTATTTAACCTTCTTCGCATAGTTTTTATGGACAATGAGTGGATGCATGAGGCTGTTGACCAGGATGATGCATATATACAAGCTCCATCTGGCACTCCTCAGTCTATTTCCAGCACAGTAGTTTACTTTCAACAGAGGCTGCTATTGATTCTGGAGGATATTAGTGCTTCACTGGTAGCTGAAATTCCACAAAAGGTTTGCTTTCCATTACTGAGTATAAGATTGTTTCTAATTTTTCCTTGAGGCTTCTGTATTATTATCTTATTTTTTTTCTTAACTACTAGTAACAAAATTCATGGCAGGATGATATTGTTCATAATGTTGACCTGGAACTGTTAGTTACATGTGCCCGCTCTGCACGGGATGCAATCACCCGCAATCATGTTTTCTCATTGGTATCTACCGTAGCAAAGGTCTTACCTGACAAAGTTTTGGACCACATTTTGGAAATTGTCACTGTTATTGGCGACTCTGCTGTGACACAGGTCTAATTTTTTTTTTTTTTGGTTGATCTTAATTTAGTTCCAATTCCTACATAAAAAATGTGATGTGTCTTACCGGGTTAATCATTTGTATTTCACTGGTTGAAGCAAGAAGTTCACCCTTGATTTTTGTTCTGTTTGTTCTTCGCCCTTATCTGGAATGTAAAAAGTCACACCAATTATTATGCATGCAAAGTTCAAGCATTGGATTGTGCCATGCTGAAAACCTTATTTGACACCTGAAAATTTAAGTTAAAGCTCAAGGACATGATGTGATGTTTTGTCTTGAATAATACTTGGGGTTGACAAATTTATGTTATGTAGTGGGACAGCTACTCACAATGTGTGTTTGAAGACCTTATATCTGCAGTCATACCATGTTGGCTATCTAAGACTGACAACACAGACAAATTGCTTCAGGTAATGTCATGATAAAGTCTTCTGGCAGGTGTCCCTTGTGCAGTGCTACTGTAGTGTTCTTTTTTTTTTTTTCCCTCCTAATGGGAAGGTTCTGATTAGGTTGGGTCTTGTCATCCAGATATTTGTAAGTATACTACCTCAAGTTGCCGAGCACAGAAGGCTCTCAATTATGGTACACCTTTTGAGGTAACATTGGTACACTCTGCTTGCTTATGCTTCTTTAGCTTCTTTTGTGTTGACAGGCTTCTTTTACAGGACTCTAGGAGACAGTGGTAGCTTGGGTTCATTGTTTGCCGTCCTTTTCTGTTCATTAATTTCTCGGAATAACTTATATTGCCTTGAGGATAGTAGGCACTCTTTGGATCATTTAAATTCTACCACTCGTATGCAATGGGAGTATGTATTTGCAATGCAATTATCTGAGCAGTATTCATGCATGATATGGCTTCCTTCTCTTGTTAAGCTACTTCAACAAATAGAAATGGGTACTTGGGATGAAGAACTGTTTATGGAACTGCTAGTTGCAATGCGATTCATTTCAGACAAATTACAGGATCCTGAAATTTCTTTCAAGCTTGATTCTAGTGAAGAATTAGATAAAATTCAGGTTTGTTTGCGGTATTTTTTTTTTTAACTCATTATATTTGATGAATGAATTATGTTTTTTTGCCATTGTTTCGTGGATTAAGCAGTCTGATATGTGTCTTAAGAAGAAGGTGTGGGTGTAGTATTAATTAATAGCTGGATATTTTATGGTAAGGATTTGGTGTAACCTTAAAATTTGTGGAAGTTTTTACGTGATCTTTTGATTAGTGCTGTATTAACGAATTTTTGCAGACCTAAATGGTTGGGATGAAAGCTTTGTTGAGTTGTTTGATATGGTTTTAGGGCTGAAATGAGGAAGTCTGTAGCGTGGAAGATGCTAGCGAAGTTTGTTAATGTCTTTAGGGCTTTTGAAGCTTATACATCAGCCTCAAAACTGTTGCGTGAAAGGAAGGCTTCGTAGATGTGCTTCTTTGGGTTTTTGATTAGCCTTTGGCTCTCTACTTTTCATTTTCCACCTTCCCCTTCCTTTTTCTTCTGTCTTTGCGGATTCTAGCCCCTAGTGGACTATAGTGTTTTCTCTTTTTCTCTCCCTCTCTCTTTCATTGGTTCTATAATTTTTGTGTTTCTTTCCTACCCCCTCGCCCTCCCTCCCTTCCTTCCCCCTTCTCCCTCTTGTTCTTATCAGATAGGTGCAAAAAAGGTAAAACAATCTCCAAATGGAGCAAAGTAGCATTTATTATACTCTATATCTTCTCTCTTTTTTTTTTTTTTTAATTTTTCCCTTGGGGAAAAAATGATCATCTGCATATCATTTTATTACAAAGAATATCAGCTATTTTGTTCGGTGGCTTTTGCCCTTCCCCAGATGAACATTCATCCCTCCGGCTCAATTTTGAGTTAAAAGGAGAAGGAAGTGAAATAAAAATAGAGTACGGTTTTTTACGACGTCTTGTCTGTCTACAGAATCTTACTGCTACTTTGTTGGTGTTGGTGGGGTGCCACAGACCAGCAATTAGGGATTACATTGCATCCAACACTAGAGTCATGCATAAAATGTGTGGCCCTCCAGTTGGATGAACCCCAGTAAGCAGCTGGTTTGCAGTGGCCTTAAGTTTTGTTCTTAGTCATGATATTATGCATTGTTGCCTATTGGCCTAATTGGATAGACTTTAGCAAAAAAAAAAGATTGAAGAGGGTTGAGATACTATTTGTGCCTTTATTTTTACCACAATTGGATTGAACTCGTGGGTTTTGAGTTCGAGATAACACAAGTTGGAACTTTATTTCATTTATTGGGAGCATCATTTGTTTGACGTTTGTTGTCTCAGTGATGATCCTTGAGAAAATATACCAGCAGTATGAACGTCGACTATATTTGATTAAATATTAGCTCTTGTTGTGTAGTTCTAGTATTAGTGTTTGTGCTGATGCTTTGTTGCCTATAGTTCTTGATATCAACATATTTTTTCAATGAGACTAAAAAAGCAGTTTCACATGACACCTTTGATTATTGCTGCAGGGAACGGTCGGTTCACTTATGGAGTTGGTTGTTTCTTGTCTGCAACTGGTTGACTCAAGAAGAAAGCAAATAGCTGTTCCCACTGTCATCCGGAAAGATCTAAAGGAGTACATGCGTAGTGCTTTGAAAACTATTGCAAGGTGCCTGGTACCTGCGGTGTACTTCCAAGTCATTATTAAATTGCTGGGCCATGCAGATAACAATGTGAGAAGGAAGGTAGGAAATGTAGTCTTTATTATTATGTATTCTTTTGCATTAGCAGATCTCAGGTATTGCAAGCGCAATATTAACTTTTCTTGGCAGTTCACGGGATTACAAGGCTGCATTGGATTGGTCTGTAATATAATGTCTAGGATTGTCGGGGAAGCATTTCTTGGGGAGATTGGTATAACCATCTGTTCTGTTAATTTACTAGCAATAAACCCGTGTTTGAAGACATTTTCTAGTACAAAAAAACTAAAATTGATCGTATAGTATTTATATTTTAAATAATATTTTTTTAATTAGGCAATTTAAAATTAAAGTTATAAGAGAGAGGGATATAAGAATTAATGAGATTGTTTTGCATTGAGAACTGTGTTCATTGAATTGTCTAACATTGAGAGTCATGCGGAGAAGATGCTTTTGAGGGGGAAGAAAATTTTGGGATGAATTTTGTACCATTGGATCAAAGTAGGTGAAAATTTGATTAATCTTGACCATTATTGTGTTTTTATAAGTTGAGAATTCGACTAATTCACTGTAATATTAGATAGATTTTAGAGTGTGTGGAACGCTTGTGGCGGTATCTCTTAGAATGAGGTCCATATTTAACATTGTTCAGTAGATATTCTGTGTCAATGTACTTCACAAGGTGTTGTACAAGTAGAACAGTGTATAAAGTATCAATCTGATGCTTTTGTTTTTCTTTTTAGTTAATTGTTTGGTATGTAGTTTGGTGCTATTGTCTCTGAAACTAATTCGTTCATCCTGTGCAAGCAGGCTCTTGGGCTTCTGTGCAATACATTGAAGGACTCTAGCACAGTGGACATGAAACATGAGAGAAGGGGATTGAGAATAAGCTCAACAAGCTCTTGGATTTATCTGAATGAAAATGATCTAGCATCCTTAAACAGATTGTGTTTGGAAATTGTAAAGTTAATTGATGATTCTGATACTGAGTCAAATGCTTCTTTGAAACTGGCAGCAGTTTCAACATTGGAGGTTTTAACCAGCAGGTTTCCGTCCAACGATTCAGTTTTTAGCATGTGCCTTGCATCTGTTGTTGAAAACATCAGTTTGACCAACTTTGCTCTCTCTTCTAGTTGCCTTCGGACAACTGGTGCTTTGATCAGTGTGCTTGGGCCAAGGGCACTCTCTAAGCTTCCTTTTATCATGGAGCACTTGCTTAGTTTTTCTCGTGATGTCTCCTCATCTGTGGCTGCAGAAACCAGAAGTGGTGATGATAATACTTTTATTGCATTATCAAATTCTAGGGAATCTCTCTTCATGGCAATTCTTGTCACCTTAGAGGCAGTTGTGAGCAATCTTGGTGGTTTTTTAAATCCATACCTTGGAGATATTCTAGAACTTGTATTGTTGCATCCTGAATATGCATCCAGATCAGATCTGAAGTTAAAATTGAAGGCCGGCATAGTACGGAAGCTTATCATTGAGAAAATTCCTGTATGTTTCCTTATGAAAAGTTTGATATTTGTTTTTGGTGTGGATATCTTTATTTTTATTCAGTTACTTGAAATTCAACTTTCTACTGACTCCAATCTCATTGACCAGGTTCGACTTTCACTCCCACCCCTGTTGAAAATATACTCCAAAGCTGTCAAAACTGGGGACTCAAGTTTGTCCATTACTTTTGAAATGCTAGGAAACTTAGTGGTTACCATGGATAAATCATCAATTGGCGCTTATCATGCAAATATTTTTGAGTTGTGCTTACTAGCACTTGATCTTCGCCGTCAACATTCTGTTTTAATCAAGACCATAGATGATGTTGAAAAAAATGTCGTCAATGCAATAGTTAATCTGACTATGAAACTTACAGAGACCATGTTCAAGCCCCTTTTCATTCGCAGTGTTGAATGGTCAGAGTCAAATGTGGAAGAAAGTGAAGGTGCAGGAAGCTCAAATATTGATAGAGCTATTTCTTTTTATGGCTTGGTAAATAAACTTGCTGAAAGTCATCGGTGAGTTAATGTCCCTTTCTGTATTGATGTGATTTCAGTGGTTTGTTGAAGTGACTTGATTCAGTGTTAGCTGATAGGTATGGTGGTACTTAAAATGTGATTGGTGCTTGGGGTGCCACTTACCTGACCAGGAAACATAATCTAATTGGGTTGGCTTTTAAAGACGGATATAAACTTCTTAATTATAAGTTAGATTGAAGGAAAAGTTTTTCGCATGTTATTCCAGAAACCATATACACCTGCTTGAGGTGCTTTCTTGCACATGGACACCTTGTCCGTGGTTATTATCCACTCCCACTGTCGTAGGTTGAACGTTACTGGACCCAATCAGGCATGTTTAAAGAGGTTCATACCTGATTATGAGTTGTCTTTGGTAGATTATTACGGAACCATAATAATGCGTAAATTCTGAGAAAAATCAAGCAAGTTCTTTCTTGAACCTCTTTTGTGGGATTAACCACTTCTTTCTATGAATTTATTGTGTTCTCTTATTATTTTGCCTTCATTTCTTTTAATCTTCTTTCTCTTGACTCTTCTGTTTATCAGTTTTATTTTTATGTACACTTGGTTCCCTTTTATCTGAAATTCGTCTTATAATTTGGATTGCTTGTCCATGACTGCAATTGTCAGCAATTGTCCTAGATACTTTAATTGTTTCTTACGTTTCAATTACCTCATTGGCTTGCTACGTAGTAGAGTGTGGGCCTGGAGAGGAATAGATGCATATACTAACTGAATCTTCAAGGCTGATACAAAATGTGGCTGAAAATTATCTATTTGTTTCTTTTCTTCTTTTTATTTTGATTGTTCTACTCCTCCCAACGAACCACATATCTGGGACCAATACTGGCTCACGGTGATTATGGCATGCTATAATTTTACTCATACAAGCATGACAATTTCTTGTCATTTTGATTTAATTTCAGTTGCTTATGCTTTTATATTGTAACTCAGATCGTTGTTTGTCCCATACTTCAAGTACTTGCTCGATGGTTGCGTACTTCATCTCACAGTTGCTGAAGATACAGAGATAGGTCTGACTCGAAAGAAAAAGAAGGCCAAGCTGCAAGTAGCAAACAGTAAAAAGAAGGATGGCAATGGTGCATTGACTATTGGAATGTGGCATCTACGGGCATTGGTTTTGTCATCCTTATATAAATGTTTTCTTTATGACAATGGGAGCCTGAAGTTTCTCGATTCATCAAATTTTCAGGCATGCAAAATACCTTCCTTTTTCCTTCAATACGTTCTGCAACATGTTGCAATTACACTGATTCCCTTTATGGTCTGAGTGAGTCACATCTTGGACAGAGATCAAGCTGCTTATATATATTGATAGATCCTCATGTAATGGGTTCATCAACTAATCGTAACTCGTAATCTTAACTGTTGCATTTTTCTGTGTGATCACTTTGAATTCTCTTTTTTTTTCCTCTCTCACATTAGTTGCATTCAAGTTCTTTGAATCACATATAAGAAAATACACTTAAATATTAAGATAGTGATTACCATTTTTACTCTTTTCATTTGATGCACAATGTCTCCATTGTTTACCTGAACTTCGTAATTTATCTAGAAGTCCAATATTTGGCATTTCTGTCTTTTGTTTGAAATGATGGTTCACCAAATTTTGTGCTCGTCTGTCCAACACAATGGGATTGGTTTCGAGAACACTAGGCCTTCTGAAATCTTGCAAGTTGTCAAGCAAAACTATTTCACATACCCTTGCCTACTCAAGGCCCACTTATGAATATTCAGAAAAAAAGCCAAAAGCACAATTGCTTAGGAAGGAAATAAAAGGAGTAAAAGTTGAAGGATATCAAAGATTTGTAACAATTAGTTTCAACTCTTTCAATTGTTTTGGAACTTGAGAAGTACATTAGCTTGCAATATGGTCGGCCTGGTGCAGGATGTTAACTACCAAAATAATATTGCACAATGACACAGAAAAAAGGGGTTAGATTTTCTTTAATGGCCCTAAGTGTAATGTACAACCATAGGCAAGCTTTATTTACTTCTCTTATGCTAATTTTCAAAGATATGGAGATGGAACATCCATCTGACCACATTGAATGACGAACCCAACAAACAGGGCTGAATTTGACTTGTATGATTCAATAACTGGACCGGTTATTGGGTAGGTTTCAAACCTTTTACCTTATATTAAAAGGGTGCCAACTCTCAAGATCATAACAAACTGCACTGGACAAACTATCTGTAGGTTTCTCACTTTGTTATGCATCTCATTTTTTTGTCATATATTGATTTGAAATATCCTAGATGTATGTTTGCTTTATATGCTGTCTTCTTGGTGCCAATTTTAAGTGTGGCCATTGTGGGATGAACACTTTGATTTATTCACCAGCGTGCACCATTAACAGTCTTAATAATCTTGAAAAATTTATTTTTCTCCACCACTGTTATTGGTTGCTTGTGCCTTTAATTTTAGTTTATGTTATCTATTTTTGCAGGTTCTTTTGAAACCCATTGTTTCGCTGCTTGCTACTGACCCACCGACTTCTCTAGAAGAGCATCCCAACATACCTTCTGTACAGGATTTCGATGATTTGTTGGTTGCTTGCATTGGTCAGATGGCTGTTACAGCTGGCACTGACCTTCTTTGGAAGCCCCTGAACCATGAGGTTAGTGCGAAATCCCTATCTTATTCCATTTTATCTGCCATTGCTTTCAAAATGTAAACCTCACCTTTTAGCTACTTCAAATTATAAGCTGCCCAAAAAGGGCCACAAAACCAACCTCTGTCGTCTGGTAGAATCAGTCCAGGGTTTTAAGTTTTTAGCACGACTAGCAAACATGATTCGATCCCAACATGAAGTCAGCATATATAGTGTAGTACTTCTATAATGGATTAATAGTCAGTGTGTTAGTGTTGAACCTCTCAAATCATTATTCCAATGCTTACACTTAGGTTTTGCCTGTCTTTGGGTATCTTGTCGAATTGTTGATTTGATTTATGAATTTTGTTGTCATATTCTTTTAAATTGCAGTTACCAAATATTGAATTTCAGTGTTTTGTAGCTTTTTTATCACTGATTTCTTTGTTCCAAATGTATCTTCCCAATACCATTTGTAATTTTACATTTTCTTTGGAAGAAATAGTGCCATTTCATTGGATACTGTAACATGTAGTGTTGGAATGGTATTGCTGTTGTTTTGTGCCCTAGTAGCCTGGCTTTCTAAGAAAATGAATTTGATGTTAACTCTCTCCCTCTCTCTCTTCACAATTTTTGACTGCACAAGCATTACACTTAGATATTCATCACCATGCCAATCACACTCTTTAGTGGTCCACCTCATTATTTTAAGGCAACTTGATTCACCTTCGTTTGAATCTTCTCTATCGTACCCAAATTAGGTTGTAACATTCAATTGTACTCGGCAACAGTTTCTGCATTTCCCAAATATATGCCAACTTCCTTCTCATTGCCGAATTCTGTATAAAGCCTACACTAGTCCGCTCCATTGGGTATGCATGCTTTGTGGTGAATCTCCAAAAATTCTAGTAATTCTGAGTTCTTTGTCATTGCAGGTGTTGATGCAAACACGTAGTGAAAAGGTGCGATCCCGTGTTTTGGGCCTGAGAATTGTCAAATACCTAGTGGAGAATCTGAAAGAAGAATATCTAGTATTATTGGCTGAAACCATTCCCTTCCTTGGTGAATTGCTGGAGGATATTGAGCTACCTGTTAAAGCTCTTGCCCAAGAGATCCTCAAAGAAATGGAGTCCATGAGTGGTGAAAGCCTTCGACAATACCTCTGATGTTGGTAACCGCTAAATTCTCTTTTGTTTCTACATGGAAAAGCTCAGACGATCTCCAAGGTGACCGCCATGCCAGAGAAATGGCAATAGTACATTGTGGTGGTGTGCAATGCGGCTTTTCCGTGGACCAGTTGTATGTTTTGTACATAGGTGATAGTTGTCAGTTTTCAATGGCAAAGAGACAGCTGATTTCAAGGAGATTTTTGTTCACAGGCATTGTTTAGAATAGGTGGGAAGATTATAGTTGTAAGTTGAGTCAATTTTGTAATTTTGATATACTACTGTTCCAGACTGCTGGTGTGTCTGTAATACATGGTTTTGCTTATGGAGAGTTCACAAACTAAATATTTATTTCCCCAGTGCTGTGTTCCTCTTTGTTGACTATTGGTTGGTTTCTTTCAACAATTTTGACCTTTGATCATGTCCCATAGGCTTCAGTCCGTTAGCTGATAATATTTTCACATTGCACCTTCAACGTCATAAGATAATTGCAGTGTGGTCCTCACATCAACTTCCGTTCACTGTTTTCATCAAATCTTGTTATACGCTACACTAGTGAATTTGAATTTGACGGAAATAATAATGGAAGTTAGTGCGAGGACAACAACATTGAAATCATTTTATGATATTAAGGGTGTAATATGGAAAAATTAATCTTTCGAGATGTAAATTAAAAATGTTAAAAAAAAAATTGGGATGCCGATTCCATTCCAATCTGGTCCAATGGAAGACTTAAGTCTTCCCTCTGCCGATATTCTTATGTGGCAAAGGTAATTATTGGTAGTTAGTAAAATAATGAAATTTACTAAGTTTATTTGATATTTTATTATTGATTGGTGATACCATATCATTAATGTCATGTAGTGTTACTGTTATATCCAATATTTTTTCCTCCGTGGGTCGGTCCCCACTTATAACTTGGGAGTTTGAAGGTTGAATTCTCACCACAAAAGGAAGAAAGAAAAAAAAAAAAAAAAATGGTCCAAAGCAATTATTGAATAAGTTTTTGAAGTCCACTTCTAATCTAACGGTTGCAATCGATTAGATTACATATTAGGTTCTTAAATTAGATCCAAACAGCATTTTTTTTTCAGTAGATTGTCTGGCGATATATGCCACAATGTAATCAATCTGTACAGTAGTAGACTTTTGACATAATGACATCAAATTGAAGATGAAAAATTTAACAGAATCAGATAGTTTAGCACCAGTACATGACTCATCAGCATTTACATAACATCAAATAATATAATGAAAAAGGGTAGGATGGTTTCCCTTATAAATAGTCATACGCAGGGGATCTAGGGGAGATAAATGCTAGACTGAAAATAATCAGTCAAAGCATAACAATTTCATAAGGCAGAAACTTGAACACGGATTATATGTACCAAAATGGGGGAGAACAAAGAGGGTAGGATGGAACCAAGTGACAGGGCTCAAGAACTTCATCTTTCAAATTAAAGACACCCATGTCATGACAGTGTTTATTGTCATAGTCATCAGTGAAATAGATGCAATTGGTTTTGTAGCATCCCTTAATGTCTGGTGCAGGTAAAGAAAAAGATGAACTGCCCAGGAACAAAGCGACATTGCCCAAGTCATTTACTTCGACCCAACGGTATCTATATATACTCCCCTCCTGAGTATTTTGTTCCAGTTTGAAAACTGCAAGCTTAGAAGTCCAATGAGGAAGCTTATAATCTTCTTTTTTCATTTTAGACCCAGGTATCCAGAAAGTAAGGGCTCGCGCAACAAGTAGAAGATCACCCATTGATTCCACCAGATACTTATCAGGAAAATTGCCATTTCCTTTTGGACCTGCTGCAATGACTCTAGTTCTTAGATTTTGATCCCCAATGTCACAAACAACCAAGTCACCTTCTGAATTGATAGCATGAAATTGGTCCTTGTAGTAAATCACATCCAGGCAAAGGTGTTGAGGCATCGGTACTTTGGTCCAGGCCTTGTCTCCTGGTCTTGCAAATGCCAAAGTGAAGGCTCCAGAAAAGACTGCCATGACTACACATTCATTACTTTCATGGTTGTTCGTGTTCTTCAATGGTTCCGAGGACAGAGCAGCCTTTCTTATGTATATGCCACTCATGATTTCAAACCTGTCCCTAGGTTCTGGATTGGACAGATATCTGAAGGGCAGGCGCCCAAAGCGAAGCAGATAATCAAAGGAAGGGCAAGGAGGAAGCTGAATTTGGTGTCTAGAGAAGGGATGAAAGAGACATATCTCCATATCCATGCTTAAAGTGAGCAACCATCCCAATTTTGTTCCCAAGCAACTTTTACAAGAGGTTCTTGCTAACTTGATCTTGTAAATTTGAGTTTCCAATACATCATTTGATCCAAATGTTTTCATATTCTCATAGTTTTTGCTGTTTCCACTTTTGTTTTCTTCATTTTCGATAAGCATGAGCAATGGAAACCTGGGAGGTAGTGAAGGCTTTTCCTCCAAAACATTAGCAGATTGCCATGCCTTGCAAACAGCACCAAAGCACAAGAAATCATCCAAGTAAATCAAGCTTTGAGCTATGTGAGTCAAAAGGTCCTTTGGTAGATTCGCCCAATCGGCCATTTCGCTTGTTTTGTAATGCATTATTATTAGATCCTACAATACAAACATAAGAAAGAAGAATTTTGTCATTCCCAGCATCAATGTTTAGTGGAAACATTGAAACCTAAGATTCAATTACATTTCATTCAAAATTTTAGTAGAATATTGGCCTTTTCAAACTATATATTCTTGTGCAGATGTTTATGAAACCAAAAAAAAAGATGACCTCAATCTCAGTGGGAAGGAAAAATCTGAAGAAGTTGGTGACAACCATCTTTCAAAAAGATTCCAGAAATTCCAGAGAACAATGTAATTCAGATGAATTTTGAAGGAAAAACCTTGAAATGAGTAATTCTACTTTATTCACCATAAGTTTAGATGAATATTGTAGAAGATCAAGAAAGTAATATCAATTAGAAAGGCTAATTTCCAATTCAATCATGCCTATTGCAACTACTTGTTTATTCTAGGTTATTTTCTAGAAACAAAAGCAAAATGAATAAAAAGAAAGACAAATCTCTCTCTCTGCTTTCAGGGTTTTTTTTCCAATAGTATTTTCTCTTTTTTCTTTTTTCTTTTTCCAACGATTCCAACAACAAAACATAGGGTAAGAACAATCAAAAAAACAAATTGTAATACAGACAAACTATATCTAAGCTCATCTAAAGTGAATTGCTAAGTGCTTAAGTGAATAGAGCATGGTATGGAGTATAGGACGAAATACAGAAATCTTACCTTCATATATAACTCTAACCCAGAAAGATATTCTTCATGTTTTGGTTAAGCTTGAGAGAGAATAACTATAATCCAACCAACAAACACAATACCCAGATGTGAGATATATATATATATATATAGAGAGAGAGAGAGAGAGAGAGAGAGAGAGAGAGAGACTAGGAAAAAGGGGAAGAGATGACATATTTTGTCTTTTTTAGGTGAAAATGATCCCTGAATTTTGCCTATGATTTTAATTTGGTATCTAAGTTTTCAATTATCTCAATTTAGTCCATCAATTATCAATTTTAACTCATTCCACCTATTTTCATCATTAGAACAAAGTTGAAATAGCTCAGATTGAGCTAGTTTCCGGTTGATCTAATAAAGAAAATTGATAATTAAAGGACTAAATTAAGACAATAAAAAGTTTAGAGACTAAATTAAAATTAAGGACAAAATTTAAGGACTAATTATAATTTTTATTTATTTATTTTTGGGTTGGTTGAAAGGGTTGACCGATTAGAAAAGTTAAAAAACATTTTTTTGGAGCAATGTTGTGCAAGACTAAAACTGTGTATCAAAATTAGTATTAAATTAAATTACTTGTAGTCGTTGAATCAGTCATTTTTAGTATTGATCTGATGGTTATAAATGATTTGGTACATATTTTAGTGTACACTTTTGATACGCATAATTTTATCTATGTTTTTTGACTTCTAAAAAATTGAAAAATAAATTCTTTTAACCATATGTTCCCACAAAAAATTCGGCAGACAAAGTGGACCGTAATTCGGCACCCCTAATTGTCTAAGTCAAAAGACATACCATGAGAATTTTCTTTCACCTTTCTATAATGGCGGCTTTGGTAAAGCTTCGATGAGTCATTCTTTTGTAAGTTTAGGGTATGTATAACCACCTAAAAATCAAAAGCAAGTAGTCGATGAAAGTATCTCTTGCGAGACTCGAGCTTGAGACTTCGAAATAATTCATTAAACCGGCCTCTCGTTCGGGTTATTTTGATAAGTCTGACTTCTTATAAGTAAGAGGTATTAAAATCGATATTTTTTACACTTCTTATGTGTTAATTATCCATGTTTTTCATGTCTTTAAACTTGCTCAAGTTACGGTGACTAACTCAGAATTCGAGAGAGTAATTAGTGCAAGTCTAGACACCTTATAGTCCAAAAAAAAGTATCAATTACTCATCAAAGGGGTAACTCAAGTGGTAAAAATGACGGGATATAAATTCAGACATCTTGAGTTTGAATTTTAATAACTCTTTGATAGTAAATCAAAAGCGATTTATCCTTCATGAATATTATAATTTTAGCATAAATGGTCTACCTTTTGACCAGACAAAAAAAAAGATTATTTAATGCGTACGTAAATTGGTTCGAAGATTCCTGCCGTTGAACAAAAAAATAAAATATATCAATTACTCTTGATAGCGTGGCAGATTTTAATTGATTTGAATCGAATCCAAGTTAAAATTTTAGTCTAAGTCTGATTTGATTATGACGGATTTTATTTTTACACGATGAAAAATAAATATTCGATTCTATTTGAAGCCTAGAGTTGAATTTTAACAAACTTATATCTTCATTACAATTTGATTTTACCATACATACATGTATACGGTATTTAGATCAGACTAGACGACAATTGAACTCAAGATTTTTATATATTGAATAGAATTTCTTAAAGCATATAAATCAATCAGAAATATTGATCGATATCTAGTTAATCAAATTTGAAACAAAATTCCGTCAATTAACAACTAGTTGCATGTTGTGCAATTACACGAGAGTAAATATTTAAGGCAACAACGATATCTTCTTTTCATCTTCACACAATATTATGTTTTAGTAATAAATAACACAACGGAAAGTGAATTCCACATATACTATGTTTTTTTGTTTTTATCAGAACACATATGCTATGTGAGCCACCACTACACCCACCATAACTAGGGTTGTTAATCAAATTGAGCTACTCGAGTTTGACTTGAGATCGGCTCGTTTAAACTCAATTTATTTTTTAAACGAGTCCGAACTTGAATAAATTTTTAGACTCATTTAGAAAATAAGTCCTACAAGCTCGGCTCGTTTATATGCAAATACTCGGGTTCGGCTCGTTTAGGCTCGGCTCGTTTCTTAAACCAGTCGAACTTGAATAATTTTTAAAACTCGAATAAGAAACAAGCTTTTCAAATTCGGCTTAAACTCGACTCGAACTCGTTCGACTAACAACCTTAACCATAACCCTATAGACACAAGCTTATTAGGGGGTAACTTGTGAATGATTCTGAGTTTTAGTGGTAATCCGATAGATAACACGATATAATATGAATGATTTTGAGANCGTTTGTTGTCTCAGTGATGATCCTTGAGAAAATATACCAGCAGTATGAACGTCGACTATATTTGATTAAATATTAGCTCTTGTTGTGTAGTTCTAGTATTAGTGTTTGNGTTTTAGTGGTAATCCGATAGATAACACGATATAATATGAATGATTTTGAGAAAGGTATTGGTTGTTGTTGGATAAATCTATTTGAGACGTCAAATATACTTATTAAAATATAACGTATTTTATATTATAAATGTGTTAGTTTANTGTGCTGATGCTTTGTTGCCTATAGTTCTTGATATCAACATATTTTTTCAATGAGACTAAAAAAGCATTTTCACATGACACCTTTGATTATTGCTGCAGGGAACGGTCGGTTCACTTATGGAGTTGGTTGTTTCTTGTCTGCAACTGGTTGACTCAAGAAGAAAGCAAATAGCTGTTCCCACTGTCATCCGGAAAGATCTAAAGGAGTACATGCGTAGTGCTTTGAAAACTATTGCAAGGTGCCTGGTACCTGCGGTGTACTTCCAAGTCATTATTAAATTGCTGGGCCATGCAGATAACAATGTGAGAAGGAAGGTAGGAAATGTAGTCTTTATTATTATGTATTCTTTTGCATTAGCAGATCTCAGGTATTGCAAGCGCAATATTAACTTTTCTTGGCAGTTCACGGGATTACAAGGCTGCATTGGATTGGTCTGTAATATAATGTCTAGGATTGTCGGGGAAGCATTTCTTGGGGAGATTGGTATAACCATCTGTTCTGTTAATTTACTAGCAATAAACCCGTGTTTGAAGACATTTTCTAGTACAAAAAAACTAAAATTGATCGTATAGTATTTATATTTTAAATAATATTTTTTTAATTAGGCAATTTAAAATTAAAGTTATAAGAGAGAGGGATATAAGAATTAATGAGATTGTTTTGCATTGAGAACTGTGTTCATTGAATTGTCTAACATTGAGAGTCATGCGGAGAAGATGCTTTTGAGGGGGAAGAAAATTTTGGGATGAATTTTATACCATTGGATCAAAGTAGGTGAAAATTTGATTAATCTTGACCATTATTGTGTTTTTATAAGTTGAGAATTCGACTAATTCACTGTAATATTAGATAGATTTTAGAGTGTGTGGAACGCTTGTGGCGGTATCTCTTAGAATGAGGTCCATATTTAACATTGTTCAGTAGATATTCTGTGTCAATGTACTTCACAAGGTGTTGTACAAGTAGAACAGTGTATAAAGTATCAATCTGATGCTTTTGTTTTTCTTTTTAGTTAATTGTTTGGTATGTAGATTGGTGCTATTGTCTCTGAAACTAATTCGTTCATCCTGTGCAAGCAGGCTCTTGGGCTTCTGTGCAATACATTGAAGGACTCTAGCACAGTGGACATGAAACATGAGAGAAGGGGATTGAGAATAAGCTCAACAAGCTCTTGGATTTATCTGAATGAAAATGATCTAGCATCCTTAAACAGATTGTGTTTGGAAATTGTAAAGTTAATTGATGATTCTGATACTGAGTCAAATGCTTCTTTGAAACTGGCAGCAGTTTCAACATTGGAGGTTTTAACCAGCAGGTTTCCGTCCAACGATTCAGTTTTTAGCATGTGCCTTGCATCTGTTGTTGAAAACATCAGTTTGACCAACTTTGCTCTCTCTTCTAGTTGCCTTCGGACAACTGGTGCTTTGATCAGTGTGCTTGGGCCAAGGGCACTCTCTAAGCTTCCTTTTATCATGGAGCACTTGCTTAGTTTTTCTCGTGATGTCTCCTCATCTGTGGCTGCAGAAACCAGAAGTGGTGATGATAATACTTTTATTGCATTATCAAATTCTAGGGAATCTCTCTTCATGGCAATTCTTGTCACCTTAGAGGCAGTTGTGAGCAATCTTGGTGGTTTTTTAAATCCATACCTTGGAGATATTCTAGAACTTGTATTGTTGCATCCTGAATATGCATCCAGATCAGATCTGAAGTTAAAATTGAAGGCCGGCATAGTACGGAAGCTTATCATTGAGAAAATTCCTGTATGTTTCCTTATGAAAAGTTTGATATTTGTTTTTGGTGTGGATATCTTTATTTTTATTCAGTTACTTGAAATTCAACTTTCTACTGACTCCAATCTCATTGACCAGGTTCGACTTTCACTCCCACCCCTGTTGAAAATATACTCCAAAGCTGTCAAAACTGGGGACTCAAGTTTGTCCATTACTTTTGAAATGCTAGGAAACTTAGTGGTTACCATGGATAAATCATCAATTGGCGCTTATCATGCAAATATTTTTGAGTTGTGCTTACTAGCACTTGATCTTCGCCGTCAACATTCTGTTTTAATCAAGACCATAGATGATGTTGAAAAAAATGTCGTCAATGCAATAGTTAATCTGACTATGAAACTTACAGAGACCATGTTCAAGCCCCTTTTCATTCGCAGTGTTGAATGGTCAGAGTCAAATGTGGAAGAAAGTGAAGGTGCAGGAAGCTCAAATATTGATAGAGCTATTTCTTTTTATGGCTTGGTAAATAAACTTGCTGAAAGTCATCGGTGAGTTAATGTCCCTTTCTGTATTGATGTGATTTCAGTGGTTTGTTGAAGTGACTTGATTCAGTGTTAGCTGATAGGTATGGTGGTACTTAAAATGTGATTGGTGCTTGGGGTGCCACTTACCTGACCAGGAAACATAATCTAATTGGGTTGGCTTTTAAAGACGGATATAAACTTCTTAATTATAAGTTAGATTGAAGGAAAAGTTTTTCGCATGTTATTCCAGAAACCATATACACCTGCTTGAGGTGCTTTCTTGCACATGGACACCTTGTCCGTGGTTATTATCCACTCCCACTGTCGTAGGTTGAACGTTACTGGACCCAATCAGGCATGTTTAAAGAGGTTCATACCTGATTATGAGTTGTCTTTGGTAGATTATTACGGAACCATAATAATGCGTAAATTCTGAGAAAAATCAAGCAAGTTCTTTCTTGAACCTCTTTTGTGGGATTAACCACTTCTTTCTATGAATTTATTGTGTTCTCTTATTATTTTGCCTTCATTTCTTTTAATCTTCTTTCTCTTGACTCTTCTGTTTATCAGTTTTATTTTTATGTACACTTGGTTCCCTTTTATCTGAAATTCGTCTTATAATTTGGATTGCTTGTCCATGACTGCAATTGTCAGCAATTGTCCTAGATACTTTAATTGTTTCTTACGTTTCAATTACCTCATTGGCTTGCTACGTAGTAGAGTGTGGGCCTGGAGAGGAATAGATGCATATACTAACTGAATCTTCAAGGCTGATACAAAATGTTGCTGAAAATTATCTATTTGTTTCTTTTCTTTTTTTTATTTTGATTGTTCTACTCCTCCCAACGAACCACATATCTGGGACCAATACTGGCTCACGGTGATTATGGCATGCTATAATTTTACTCATACAAGCATGACAATTTCTTGTCATTTTGATTTAATTTCAGTTGCTTATGCTTTTATATTGTAACTCAGATCGTTGTTTGTCCCATACTTCAAGTACTTGCTCGATGGTTGCGTACTTCATCTCACAGTTGCTGAAGATACAGAGATAGGTCTGACTCGAAAGAAAAAGAAGGCCAAGCTGCAAGTAGCAAACAGTAAAAAGAAGGATGGCAATGGTGCATTGACTATTGGAATGTGGCATCTACGGGCATTGGTTTTGTCATCCTTATATAAATGTTTTCTTTATGACAATGGGAGCCTGAAGTTTCTCGATTCATCAAATTTTCAGGCATGCAAAATACCTTCCTTTTTCCTTCAATACGTTCTGCAACATGTTGCAATTACACTGATTCCCTTTATGGTCTGAGTGAGTCACATCTTGGACAGAGATCAAGCTGCTTATATATATTGATAGATCCTCATGTAATGGGTTCATCAACTAATCGTAACTCGTAATCTTAACTGTTGCATTTTTCTGTGTGATCACTTTGAATTCTCTTTTTTTTTCCTCTCTCACATTAGTTGCATTCAAGTTCTTTGAATCACATATAAGAAAATACACTTAAATATTAAGATAGTGATTACCATTTTTACTCTTTTCATTTGATGCACAATGTCTCCATTGTTTACCTGAACTTCGTAATTTATCTAGAAGTCCAATATTTGGCATTTCTGTCTTTTGTTTGAAATGATGGTTCACCAAATTTTGTGCTCGTCTGTCCAACACAATGGGATTGGTTTCGAGAACACTAGGCCTTCTGAAATCTTGCAAGTTGTCAAGCAAAACTATTTCACATACCCTTGCCTACTCAAGGCCCACTTATGAATATTCAGAAAAAAAGCCAAAAGCACAATTGCTTAGGAAGGAAATAAAAGGAGTAAAAGTTGAAGGATATCAAAGATTTGTAACAATTAGTTTCAACTCTTTCAATTGTTTTGGAACTTGAGAAGTACATTAGCTTGCAATATGGTCGGCCTGGTGCAGGATGTTAACTACCAAAATAATATTGCACAATGACACAGAAAAAAGGGGTTAGATTTTCTTTAATGGCCCTAAGTGTAATGTACAACCATAGGCAAGCTTTATTTACTTCTCTTATGCTAATTTTCAAAGATATGGAGATGGAACATCCATCTGACCACATTGAATGACGAACCCAACAAACAGGGCTGAATTTGACTTGTATGATTCAATAACTGGACCGGTTATTGGGTAGGTTTCAAACCTTTTACCTTATATTAAAAGGGTGCCAACTCTCAAGATCATAACAAACTGCACTGGACAAACTATCTGTAGGTTTCTCACTTTGTTATGCATCTCATTTTTTTGTCATATATTGATTTGAAATATCCTAGATGTATGTTTGCTTTATATGCTGTCTTCTTGGTGCCAATTTTAAGTGTGGCCATTGTGGGATGAACACTTTGATTTATTCACCAGCGTGCACCATTAACAGTCTTAATAATCTTGAAAAATTTATTTTTCTCCACCACTGTTATTGGTTGCTTGTGCCTTTAATTTTAGTTTATGTTATCTATTTTTGCAGGTTCTTTTGAAACCCATTGTTTCGCTGCTTGCTACTGACCCACCGACTTCTCTAGAAGAGCATCCCAACATACCTTCTGTACAGGATTTCGATGATTTGTTGGTTGCTTGCATTGGTCAGATGGCTGTTACAGCTGGCACTGACCTTCTTTGGAAGCCCCTGAACCATGAGGTTAGTGCGAAATCCCTATCTTATTCCATTTTATCTGCCATTGCTTTCAAAATGTAAACCTCACCTTTTAGCTACTTCAAATTATAAGCTGCCCAAAAAGGGCCACAAAACCAACCTCTGTCGTCTGGTAGAATCAGTCCAGGGTTTTAAGTTTTTAGCACGACTAGCAAACATGATTCGATCCCAACATGAAGTCAGCATATATAGTGTAGTACTTCTATAATGGATTAATAGTCAGTGTGTTAGTGTTGAACCTCTCAAATCATTATTCCAATGCTTACACTTAGGTTTTGCCTGTCTTTGGGTATCTTGTCGAATTGTTGATTTGATTTATGAATTTTGTTGTCATATTCTTTTAAATTGCAGTTACCAAATATTGAATTTCAGTGTTTTGTAGCTTTTTTATCACTGATTTCTTTGTTCCAAATGTATCTTCCCAATACCATTTGTAATTTTACATTTTCTTTGGAAGAAATAGTGCCATTTCATTGGATACTGTAACATGTAGTGTTGGAATGGTATTGCTGTTGTTTTGTGCCCTAGTAGCCTGGCTTTCTAAGAAAATGAATTTGATGTTAACTCTCTCCCTCTCTCTCTTCACAATTTTTGACTGCACAAGCATTACACTTAGATATTCATCACCATGCCAATCACACTCTTTAGTGGTCCACCTCATTATTTTAAGGCAACTTGATTCACCTTCGTTTGAATCTTCTCTATCGTACCCAAATTAGGTTGTAACATTCAATTGTACTCGGCAACAGTTTCTGCATTTCCCAAATATATGCCAACTTCCTTCTCATTGCCGAATTCTGTATAAAGCCTACACTAGTCCGCTCCATTGGGTATGCATGCTTTGTGGTGAATCTCCAAAAATTCTAGTAATTCTGAGTTCTTTGTCATTGCAGGTGTTGATGCAAACACGTAGTGAAAAGGTGCGATCCCGTGTTTTGGGCCTGAGAATTGTCAAATACCTAGTGGAGAATCTGAAAGAAGAATATCTAGTATTATTGGCTGAAACCATTCCCTTCCTTGGTGAATTGCTGGAGGATATTGAGCTACCTGTTAAAGCTCTTGCCCAAGAGATCCTCAAAGAAATGGAGTCCATGAGTGGTGAAAGCCTTCGACAATACCTCTGATGTTGGTAACCGCTAAATTCTCTTTTGTTTCTACATGGAAAAGCTCAGACGATCTCCAAGGTGACCGCCATGCCAGAGAAATGGCAATAGTACATTGTGGTGGTGTGCAATGCGGCTTTTCCGTGGACCAGTTGTATGTTTTGTACATAGGTGATAGTTGTCAGTTTTCAATGGCAAAGAGACAGCTGATTTCAAGGAGATTTTTGTTCACAGGCATTGTTTAGAATAGGTGGGAAGATTATAGTTGTAAGTTGAGTCAATTTTGTAATTTTGATATACTACTGTTCCAGACTGCTGGTGTGTCTGTAATACATGGTTTTGCTTATGGAGAGTTCACAAACTAAATATTTATTTCCCCAGTGCTGTGTTCCTCTTTGTTGACTATTGGTTGGTTTCTTTCAACAATTTTGACCTTTGATCATGTCCCATAGGCTTCAGTCCGTTAGCTGATAATATTTTCACATTGCACCTTCAACGTCATAAGATAATTGCAGTGTGGTCCTCACATCAACTTCCGTTCACTGTTTTCATCAAATCTTGTTATACGCTACACTAGTGAATTTGAATTTGACGGAAATAATAATGGAAGTTAGTGCGAGGACAACAACATTGAAATCATTTTATGATATTAAGGGTGTAATATGGAAAAATTAATCTTTCGAGATGTAAATTAAAAATGTTAAAAAAAAAATTGGGATGCAAAAGTACTATTTACACTGGCTTAAAAGCATATTTCCGATTTTTTTAACAAAAGTATTCCAATCTGGTCCTATGGAAGACTTAAGTCTTCCCTCTGCCGATATTCTTATGTGGCAAAGGTAATTATTGGTAGTTAGTAAAATAATGAAATTTACTAAGTTTATTTGATATTTTATTATTGATTGGTGATACCATATCATTAATGTCATGTAGTGTTACTGTTATATCCAATATTTTTTCCTCCGTGGGTCGGTCCCCACTTATAACTTGGGAGTTTGAAGGTTGAATTCTCACCACAAAAGGAAGAAAGAAAAAAAAAAAAAAAAATGGTCCAAAGCAATTATTGAATAAGTTTTTGAAGTCCACTTCTAATCTAACGGTTGCAATCGATTAGATTACATATTAGGTTCTTAAATTAGATCCAAACAGCATTTTTTTTTCAGTAGATTGTCTGGCGATATATGCCACAATGTAATCAATCTGTACAGTAGTAGACTTTTGACATAATGACATCAAATTGAAGATGAAAAATTTAACAGAATCAGATAGTTTAGCACCAGTACATGACTCATCAGCATTTACATAACATCAAATAATATAATGAAAAAGGGTAGGATGGTTTCCCTTATAAATAGTCATACGCAGGGGATCTAGGGGAGATAAATGCTAGACTGAAAATAATCAGTCAAAGCATAACAATTTCATAAGGCAGAAACTTGAACACGGATTATATGTACCAAAATGGGGGAGAACAAAGAGGGTAGGATGGAACCAAGTGACAGGGCTCAAGAACTTCATCTTTCAAATTAAAGACACCCATGTCATGACAGTGTTTATTGTCATAGTCATCAGTGAAATAGATGCAATTGGTTTTGTAGCATCCCTTAATGTCTGGTGCAGGTAAAGAAAAAGATGAACTGCCCAGGAACAAAGCGACATTGCCCAAGTCATTTACTTCGACCCAACGGTATCTATATATACTCCCCTCCTGAGTATTTTGTTCCAGTTTGAAAACTGCAAGCTTAGAAGTCCAATGAGGAAGCTTATAATCTTCTTTTTTCATTTTAGACCCAGGTATCCAGAAAGTAAGGGCTCGCGCAACAAGTAGAAGATCACCCATTGATTCCACCAGATACTTATCAGGAAAATTGCCATTTCCTTTTGGACCTGCTGCAATGACTCTAGTTCTTAGATTTTGATCCCCAATGTCACAAACAACCAAGTCACCTTCTGAATTGATAGCATGAAATTGGTCCTTGTAGTAAATCACATCCAGGCAAAGGTGTTGAGGCATCGGTACTTTGGTCCAGGCCTTGTCTCCTGGTCTTGCAAATGCCAAAGTGAAGGCTCCAGAAAAGACTGCCATGACTACACATTCATTACTTTCATGGTTGTTCGTGTTCTTCAATGGTTCCGAGGACAGAGCAGCCTTTCTTATGTATATGCCACTCATGATTTCAAACCTGTCCCTAGGTTCTGGATTGGACAGATATCTGAAGGGCAGGCGCCCAAAGCGAAGCAGATAATCAAAGGAAGGGCAAGGAGGAAGCTGAATTTGGTGTCTAGAGAAGGGATGAAAGAGACATATCTCCATATCCATGCTTAAAGTGAGCAACCATCCTAATTTTGTTCCCAAGCAACTTTTACAAGAGGTTCTTGGTAACTTGATCTTGTAAATTTGAGTTTCCAATACATCATTTGATCCAAATGTTTTCATATTCTCATAGTTTTTGCTGTTTCCACTTTTGTTTTCTTCATTTTCGATAAGCATGAGCAATGGAAACCTGGGAGGTAGTGAAGGCTTTTCCTCCAAAACATTAGCAGATTGCCATGCCTTGCAAACAGCACCAAAGCACAAGAAATCATCCAAGTAAATCAAGCTTTGAGCTATGTGAGTCAAAAGGTCCTTTGGTAGATTCGCCCAATCGGCCATTTCGCTTGTTTTGTAATGCATTATTATTAGATCCTACAATACAAACATAAGAAAGAAGAATTTTGTCATTCCCAGCATCAATGTTTAGTGGAAACATTGAAACCTAAGATTCAATTACATTTCATTCAAAATTTTAGTAGAATATTGGCCTTTTCAAACTATATATTCTTGTGCAGATGTTTATGAAACCAAAAAAAAAGATGACCTCAATCTCAGTGGGAAGGAAAAATCTGAAGAAGTTGGTGACAACCATCTTTCAAAAAGATTCCAGAAATTCCAGAGAACAATGTAATTCAGATGAATTTTGAAGGAAAAACCTTGAAATGAGTAATTCTACTTTATTCACCATAAGTTTAGATGAATATTGTAGAAGATCAAGAAAGTAATATCAATTAGAAAGGCTAATTTCCAATTCAATCATGCCTATTGCAACTACTTGTTTATTCTAGGTTATTTTCTAGAAACAAAAGCAAAATGAATAAAAAGAAAGACAAATCTCTCTCTCTGCTTTCAGGGTTTTTTTTCCAATAGTATTTTCTCTTCTTTCTTTTTTCTTTTTCCAACGATTCCAACAACAAAACATAGGGTAAGAACAATCAAAAAAACAAATTGTAATACAGACAAACTATATCTAAGCTCATCTAAAGTGAATTGCTAAGTGCTTAAGTGAATAGAGCATGGTATGGAGTATAGGACGAAATACAGAAATCTTACCTTCATATATAACTCTAACCCAGAAAGATATTCTTCATGTTTTGGTTAAGCTTGAGAGAGAATAACTATAATCCAACCAACAAACACAATACCCAGATGTGAGATATATATATATATATATAGAGAGAGAGAGAGAGAGAGAGAGAGAGAGAGAGAGACTAGGAAAAAGGGGAAGAGATGACATATTTTGTCTTTTTTAGGTGAAAATGATCCCTGAATTTTGCCTATGATTTTAATTTGGTATCTAAGTTTTCAATTATCTCAATTTAGTCCATCAATTATCAATTTTAACTCATTCCACCTATTTTCATCATTAGAACAAAGTTGAAATAGCTCAGATTGAGCTAGTTTCCGGTTGATCTAATAAAGAAAATTGATAATTAAAGGACTAAATTAAGACAATAAAAAGTTTAGAGACTAAATTAAAATTAAGGACAAAATTTAAGGACTAATTATAATTTTTATTTATTTATTTTTGGGTTGGTTGAAAGGGTTGACCGATTAGAAAAGTTAAAAAACATTTTTTTGGAGCAATGTTGTGCAAGACTAAAACTGTGTATCAAAATTAGTATTAAATTAAATTACTTGTAGTCGTTGAATCAGTCATTTTTAGTATTGATCTGATGGTTATAAATGATTTGGTACATATTTTAGTGTACACTTTTGATACGCATAATTTTATCTATGTTTTTTGACTTCTAAAAAATTGAAAAATAAATTCTTTTAACCATATGTTCCCACAAAAAATTCGGCAGACAAAGTGGACCGTAATTCGGCACCCCTAATTGTCTAAGTCAAAAGACATACCATGAGAATTTTCTTTCACCTTTCTATAATGGCGGCTTTGGTAAAGCTTCGATGAGTCATTCTTTTGTAAGTTTAGGGTATGTATAACCACCTAAAAATCAAAAGCAAGTAGTCGATGAAAGTATCTCTTGCGAGACTCGAGCTTGAGACTTCGAAATAATTCATTAAACCGGCCTCTCGTTCGGGTTATTTTGATAAGTCTGTTTTCTTATAAGTAAGAGGTATTCAAATCGATATTGTTTACACCTCTTAAGAGTTAATTATTCATGTTTTTCATGTCTTTAAACTTGCTCAAGTTACGGTGACTAACTCAGAATTCGAGAGAGTAATTGGTACAAGTCTAGACACCTTATAGTCCAAAAAAAAGTATCAATTACTCATCAAAGGGGTAACTCAAGTGGTAAAAATGACGGGATATAAATTCAGACATCTTGAGTTTGAATTTTAATAACTCTTTGATAGTAAATCATAAACGATTTATCCTTCATGAATACCATAATCTTAGCGTAAATGGTCTACCTTTTGACCAGACAAAAAAAAAGATTATTTAACGCGCACGTAAATTGGTTCGAAGATTCCTACCGTTGAACAAAAAAATGAAATATATCAATTACTCTTGATAGCGTGGCAGATTTTAATTGATTTGAATCGAATCCAAGTTAAAATTTTAGTCTAAGTCTGATTTGATTATGACGGATTTTATTTTTACACGATGAAAAATAAATATTCGATTCTATTTGAAGCCTAGAGTTGAATTTTAACAAACTTATATCTTCATTACAATTTGATTTTACCATATATACATGTATACGGTATTTAGATCAGACTAGACGACAACTAAACTCAAGATTTTTATATATTGAACAGAATTTCTTAAAGCATATAAATCAATCAGAAATATTGATCGATATCTAGTTAATCAAATTTGAAACAAAATTCCATCAATTAACAACTAGTTGCATGTTGTGCAATTACACGAGAGTAAATATTTAAGGCAACAACGATATCTTCTTTTCATCTTCGCACAATATTATGTTTTAGTAATAAATAACACAACGGAAAGTGAATTCCACATATACTATGTTTTTTTGTTTTTATCAGAACACATATGCTATGTGAGCCACCACTACACCCACCATAACTAGGGTTGTTAATCAAATTGAGCTACTCGAGTTTGACTTGAGATCGGCTCGTTTAAACTCAATTTATTTTTTAAACGAGTCCGAACTTGAATAAATTTTTAGACTCATTTAGAAAATAAGTCCTACAAGCTCGGCTCGTTTATATGCAAATACTCGGGTTCGGCTCGTTTAGGCTCGGCTCGTTTCTTAAACCAGTCGAACTTGAATAATTTTTAAAACTCGAATAAGAAACAAGCTTTTCAAATTCGGCTTAAACTCGACTCGAACTCGTTCGACTAACAACCTTAACCATAACCCTATAGACACAAGCTTATTAGGGGGTAACTTGTGAATGATTCTGAGTTTTAGTGGTAATCCGATAGATAACACGATATAATATGAATGATTTTGAGAAAGGTATTGGTTGTTGTTGGATAAATCTATTTGAGACGTCAAATATACTTATTAAAATATAACGTATTTTATATTATAAATGTGTTAGTTTATTTCACCGTTGAAGTGGTTATATATGACATAATTGAGTGATTATGAGTTTTAGTGGAGATCATTTATTGATATGTTTATCTGCTAAAGACATCCCATGCTTGAAGGTACAATGTAATGTGAATGATTTTGAGATAGATATTGGTGACCATTAGATGAGTTTATTTAAGACGGCCGAATAACTTTTATTGAAGTATTTGTCCTATTTTATATTAGAGTTATTATTAACTTGCACTCTGAAAGATCATTCGAATCTTAATTTAGACCTTCAAAGTTTAAAATTTTCAATTTGAACCCTGAAAGACATACAATTCGTTTCAATGTGCATCTAGAGCTAAATGTCATCCATTTTACAGTTAAAAATGTTTTGATTAATTATAAATTACACCCTCAAAGTTAAATATTTCATATTTATGATTTTTAAAAAATTACTCACATTAATGCTTGTTAAAATAATTCTCAATTGTGTTATTTCGTGTCTAATGTTAAACAGAAAATAGTTACTTAATAAGTATTGTAGGAAAAAAATAGGTATTTTATTTATTTTTAAATAATATTATATGAATTGTCATAAATGTGAAATATGCGACACAGTGCAATTGACTCGATAAGAAAAAATTGTGTGAAAAATTATTTTTTATTTACTCGAACACGACACAAANGTTTTGCATTGAGAACTGTGTTCATTGAATTGTCTAACATTGAGAGTCATGCGGAGAAGATGCTTTTGAGGGGGAAGAAAATTTTGGGATGAATTTTATACCATTGGATCAAAGTAGGTGAAAATTTGATTAATCTTGACCATTATTGTGTTTTTNTAATAGACATGACACAAATGATACGACACGAAAATGATAAGAAACACCAAACTTGAGAGGTATTTAATGAGTATTAATGGATAAAATTAATTTTGGATCANGTGCGGAGAAGATGCTTTTGAGGGGGAAGAAAATTTTGGGATGAATTTTGTACCATTGGATCAAAGTAGGTGAAAATTTGATTAATCTTGACCATTATTGTGTTTTTATAAGTTGAGAATTCGACTAATTCACTGTAATATTAGATAGATTTTAGAGTGTGTGGAACGCTTGTGGCGGTATCTCTTAGAATGAGGTCCATATTTAACATTGTTCAGTAGATATTCTCTGTCAATGTACTTCACAAGGTGTTGTACAAGTAGAACAGTGTATAAAGTATCAATCTGATGCTTTTGTTTTTCTTTTTAGTTAATTGTTTGGTATGTAGATTGGTGCTATTGTCTCTGAAACTAATTCGTTCATCCTGTGCAAGCAGGCTCTTGGGCTTCTGTGCAATACATTGAAGGACTCTAGCACAGTGGACATGAAACATGAGAGAAGGGGATTGAGAATAAGCTCAACAAGCTCTTGGATTTATCTGAATGAAAATGATCTAGCATCCTTAAACAGATTGTGTTTGGAAATTGTAAAGTTAATTGATGATTCTGATACTGAGTCAAATGCTTCTTTGAAACTGGCAGCAGTTTCAACATTGGAGGTTTTAACCAGCAGGTTTCCGTCCAACGATTCAGTTTTTAGCATGTGCCTTGCATCTGTTGTTGAAAACATCAGTTTGACCAACTTTGCTCTCTCTTCTAGTTGCCTTCGGACAACTGGTGCTTTGATCAGTGTGCTTGGGCCAAGGGCACTCTCTAAGCTTCCTTTTATCATGGAGCACTTGCTTAGTTTTTCTCGTGATGTCTCCTCATCTGTGGCTGCAGAAACCAGAAGTGGTGATGATAATACTTTTATTGCATTATCAAATTCTAGGGAATCTCTCTTCATGGCAATTCTTGTCACCTTAGAGGCAGTTGTGAGCAATCTTGGTGGTTTTTTAAATCCATACCTTGGAGATATTCTAGAACTTGTATTGTTGCATCCTGAATATGCATCCAGATCAGATCTGAAGTTAAAATTGAAGGCCGGCATAGTACGGAAGCTTATCATTGAGAAAATTCCTGTATGTTTCCTTATGAAAAGTTTGATATTTGTTTTTGGTGTGGATATCTTTATTTTTATTCAGTTACTTGAAATTCAACTTTCTACTGACTCCAATCTCATTGACCAGGTTCGACTTTCACTCCCACCCCTGTTGAAAATATACTCCAAAGCTGTCAAAACTGGGGACTCAAGTTTGTCCATTACTTTTGAAATGCTAGGAAACTTAGTGGTTACCATGGATAAATCATCAATTGGCGCTTATCATGCAAATATTTTTGAGTTGTGCTTACTAGCACTTGATCTTCGCCGTCAACATTCTGTTTTAATCAAGACCATAGATGATGTTGAAAAAAATGTCGTCAATGCAATAGTTAATCTGACTATGAAACTTACAGAGACCATGTTCAAGCCCCTTTTCATTCGCAGTGTTGAATGGTCAGAGTCAAATGTGGAAGAAAGTGAAGGTGCAGGAAGCTCAAATATTGATAGAGCTATTTCTTTTTATGGCTTGGTAAATAAACTTGCTGAAAGTCATCGGTGAGTTAATGTCCCTTTCTGTATTGATGTGATTTCAGTGGTTTGTTGAAGTGACTTGATTCAGTGTTAGCTGATAGGTATGGTGGTACTTAAAATGTGATTGGTGCTTGGGGTGCCACTTACCTGACCAGGAAACATAATCTAATTGGGTTGGCTTTTAAAGACGGATATAAACTTCTTAATTATAAGTTAGATTAAAGGAAAAGTTTTTCACATGTTATTCCAGAAACCATATACACCTGCTTGAGGTGCTTTCTTGCACATGGACACCTTGTCCGTGGTTATTATCCACTCCCACTGTCGTAGGTTGAACGTTACTGGACTCAATCAGGCATGTTTAAAGAGGTTCATACCTGATTATGAGTTGTCTTTGGTAGATTATTACGGAACCATAATAATGCGTAAATTCTGAGAAAAATCAAGCAAGTTCTTTCTTGAACCTCTTTTGTGGGATTAACCACTTCTTTCTATGAATTTATTGTGTTCTCTTATTATTTTGCCTTCATTTCTTTTAATCTTCTTTCTCTTGACTCTTCTGTTTATCAGTTTTATTTTTATGTACACTTGGTTCCCTTTTATCTGAAAATCGTCTTATAATTTGGATTGCTTGTCCATGACTGCAATTGTCAGCAATTGTCCTAGATACTTTAATTGTTTCTTACGTTTCAATTACCTCATTGGCTTGCTACGTAGTAGAGTGTGGGCCTGGAGAGGAATAGATGCATATACTAACTGAATCTTCAAGGCTGATACAAAATGTTGCTGAAAATTATCTATTTGTTTCTTTTCTTTTTTTTATTTTGATTGTTCTACTCCTCCCAACGAACCACATATCTGGGACCAATACTGGCTCACGGTGATTATGGCATGCTATAATTTTACTCATACAAGCATGACAATTTCTTGTCATTTTGATTTAATTTCAGTTGCTTATGCTTTTATATTGTAACTCAGATCGTTGTTTGTCCCATACTTCAAGTACTTGCTCGATGGTTGCGTACTTCATCTCACAGTTGCTGAAGATACAGAGATAGGTCTGACTCGAAAGAAAAAGAAGGCCAAGCTGCAAGTAGCAAACAGTAAAAAGAAGGATGGCAATGGTGCATTGACTATTGGAATGTGGCATCTACGGGCATTGGTTTTGTCATCCTTATATAAATGTTTTCTTTATGACAATGGGAGCCTGAAGTTTCTCGATTCATCAAATTTTCAGGCATGCAAAATACCTTCCTTTTTCCTTCAATACGTTCTGCAACATGTTGCAATTACACTGATTCCCTTTATGGTCTGAGTGAGTCACATCTTGGACAGAGATCAAGCTGCTTATATATATTGATAGATCCTCATGTAATGGGTTCATCAACTAATCGTAACTCGTAATCTTAACTGTTGCATTTTTCTGTGTGATCACTTTGAATTCTCTTTTTTTTTCCTCTCTCACATTAGTTGCATTCAAGTTCTTTGAATCACATATAAGAAAATACACTTAAATATTAAGATAGTGATTACCATTTTTACTCTTTTCATTTGATGCACAATGTCTCCATTGTTTACCTGAACTTCGTAATTTATCTAGAAGTCCAATATTTGGCATTTCTGTCTTTTGTTTGAAATGATGGTTCACCAAATTTTGTGCTCGTCTGTCCAACACAATGGGATTGGTTTCGAGAACACTAGGCCTTCTGAAATCTTGCAAGTTGTCAAGCAAAACTATTTCACATACCCTTGCCTACTCAAGGCCCACTTATGAATATTCAGAAAAAAAGCCAAAAGCACAATTGCTTAGGAAGGAAATAAAAGGAGTAAAAGTTGAAGGATATCAAAGATTTGTAACAATTAGTTTCAACTCTTTCAATTGTTTTGGAACTTGAGAAGTACATTAGCTTGCAATATGGTCGGCCTGGTGCAGGATGTTAACTACCAAAATAATATTGCACAATGACACAGAAAAAAGGGGTTAGATTTTCTTTAATGGCCCTAAGTGTAATGTACAACCATAGGCAAGCTTTATTTACTTCTCTTATGCTAATTTTCAAAGATATGGAGATGGAACATCCATCTGACCACATTGAATGACGAACCCAACAAACAGGGCTGAATTTGACTTGTATGATTCAATAACTGGACCGGTTATTGGGTAGGTTTCAAACCTTTTACCTTATATTAAAAGGGTGCCAACTCTCAAGATCATAACAAACTGCACTGGACAAACTATCTGTAGGTTTCTCACTTTGTTATGCATCTCATTTTTTTGTCATATATTGATTTGAAATATCCTAGATGTATGTTTGCTTTATATGCTGTCTTCTTGGTGCCAATTTTAAGTGTGGCCATTGTGGGATGAACACTTTGATTTATTCACCAGCGTGCACCATTAACAGTCTTAATAATCTTGAAAAATTTATTTTTCTCCACCACTGTTATTGGTTGCTTGTGCCTTTAATTTTAGTTTATGTTATCTATTTTTGCAGGTTCTTTTGAAACCCATTGTTTCGCTGCTTGCTACTGACCCACCGACTTCTCTAGAAGAGCATCCCAACATACCTTCTGTACAGGATTTCGATGATTTGTTGGTTGCTTGCATTGGTCAGATGGCTGTTACAGCTGGCACTGACCTTCTTTGGAAGCCCCTGAACCATGAGGTTAGTGCGAAATCCCTATCTTATTCCATTTTATCTGCCATTGCTTTCAAAATGTAAACCTCACCTTTTAGCTACTTCAAATTATAAGCTGCCCAAAAAGGGCCACAAAACCAACCTCTGTCGTCTGGTAGAATCAGTCCAGGGTTTTAAGTTTTTAGCACGACTAGCAAACATGATTCGATCCCAACATGAAGTCAGCATATATAGTGTAGTACTTCTATAATGGATTAATAGTCAGTGTGTTAGTGTTGAACCTCTCAAATCATTATTCCAATGCTTACACTTAGGTTTTGCCTGTCTTTGGGTATCTTGTCGAATTGCTGATTTGATTTATGAATTTTGTTGTCATATTCTTTTAAATTGCAGTTACCAAATATTGAATTTCAGTGTTTTGTAGCTTTTTTATCACTGATTTCTTTGTTCCAAATGTATCTTCCCAATACCATTTGTAATTTTACATTTTCTTTGGAAGAAATAGTGCCATTTCATTGGATACTGTAACATGTAGTGTTGGAATGGTATTGCTGTTGTTTTGTGCCCTAGTAGCCTGGCTTTCTAAGAAAATGAATTTGATGTTAACTCTCTCCCTCTCTCTCTTCACAATTTTTGACTGCACAAGCATTACACTTAGATATTCATCACCATGCCAATCACACTCTTTAGTGGTCCACCTCATTATTTTAAGGCAACTTGATTCACCTTCGTTTGAATCTTCTCTATCGTACCCAAATTAGGTTGTAACATTCAATTGTACTCGGCAACAGTTTCTGCATTTCCCAAATATATGCCAACTTCCTTCTCATTGCCGAATTCTGTATAAAGCCTACACTAGTCCGCTCCATTGGGTATGCATGCTTTGTGGTGAATCTCCAAAAATTCTAGTAATTCTGAGTTCTTTGTCATTGCAGGTGTTGATGCAAACACGTAGTGAAAAGGTGCGATCCCGTGTTTTGGGCCTGAGAATTGTCAAATACCTAGTGGAGAATCTGAAAGAAGAATATCTAGTATTATTGGCTGAAACCATTCCCTTCCTTGGTGAATTGCTGGAGGATATTGAGCTACCTGTTAAAGCTCTTGCCCAAGAGATCCTCAAAGAAATGGAGTCCATGAGTGGTGAAAGCCTTCGACAATACCTCTGATGTTGGTAACCGCTAAATTCTCTTTTGTTTCTACATGGAAAAGCTCAGACGATCTCCAAGGTGACCGCCATGCCAGAGAAATGGCAATAGTACATTGTGGTGGTGTGCAATGCGGCTTTTCCGTGGACCAGTTGTATGTTTTGTACATAGGTGATAGTTGTCAGTTTTCAATGGCAAAGAGACAGCTGATTTCAAGGAGATTTTTGTTCACAGGCATTGTTTAGAATAGGTGGGAAGATTATAGTTGTAAGTTGAGTCAATTTTGTAATTTTGATATACTACTGTTCCAGACTGCTGGTGTGTCTGTAATACATGGTTTTGCTTATGGAGAGTTCACAAACTAAATATTTATTTCCCCAGTGCTGCATTGTTCCTCTTTGTTGACTATTGGTTGGTTTCTTTCAACAATTTTGACCTTTGATCATGTCCCATAGGCTTCAGTCCGTTAGCTGATAATATTTTCACATTGCACCTTCAACGTCATAAGATAATTGCAGTGTGGTCCTCACATCAACTTCCGTTCACTGTTTTCATCAAATCTTGTTATACGCTACACTAGTGAATTTGAATTTGACGGAAATAATAATGGAAGTTAGTGCGAGGACAACAACATTGAAATCATTTTATGATATTAAGGGTGTAATATGGAAAAATTAATCTTTCGAGATGTAAATTAAAAATGTTAAAAAAAAAATTGGGATGCCGATTCCATTCCAATCTGGTCCAATGGAAGACTTAAGTCTTCCCTCTGCCGATATTCTTATGTGGCAAAGGTAATTATTGGTAGTTAGTAAAATAATGAAATTTACTAAGTTTATTTGATATTTTATTATTGATTGGTGATACCATATCATTAATGTCATGTAGTGTTACTGTTATATCCAATATTTTTTCCTCCGTGGGTCGGTCCCCACTTATAACTTGGGAGTTTGAAGGTTGAATTCTCACCACAAAAGGAAGAAAGAAAAAAAAAAAAAAAA